CACGAAAACTATTAATTTCCAGCTTCCAAAGCATGTCCCCTCGCAGTATATAATCCCGAGGTCATGCAACACCGCATGGCACAGCGACATCACCTTTCGAAAGCTTTAGCTGTTAGTCTACTGAAGAATCACTATTCTAATGAAGGTGTTTGTAGGGGAAAAGGAAGACCCTTCGATCTGGAGGTTTTTTGCATTTTTGATACGCGTTTAATAAAGGATTTTATATAAAAGTTTCATGGATTACTTTTTTGTTTTGAAACTCTTTCCAGGTGACCCTATTTTGGACCCCCCGATTTCAGGGACCCCCTATTAGAAAAATTGCGACCGAGGTTTCCTTATTGGGGGGGGGGGCCTCGTGTTTTTCAATAGGTGGAAGGGATTACACTTCTGCCCTGTGGATGCGGAGGTCCCATCTCATGTCCCATCCGACTGCGCATCTTGCCTTCATACACTTCTTTGAGAAAGTCCCAGCCAGTGTCTTCCCCTTTCCGGGAAACGCAGCGCAAAACATGAGGACCCCAATTGCTTCCACTCAGCTTGTAGCTGCCCTTCAAAAGGTCGTTGGTGTCGCGCGTGAAAGCAATTCGGAGCATCTCACACCCCTTGCCTTTTCCTGGAAGGAACTCAAGTCTGTTGTCTTGCACATGGGTAGACTGTCGCAAGAAGGACTGGGAAGCCAGGTCTCCCATCCGTCGATTGAAGACAAAACTCATCTGCTTTTCATCCACGCGGCTCAACTTGCTCTCCCAGTTTGCTGGCTTCAAATCCAGCAACTCCTTCCGATACCTGCGGTGTTGGCACACCTGCCTTTCCACTTCATGGGCGATGATGACTGGCAAACAAGCCAGCCGGCCGCCCTCAAGCTCCGCACACCAATACCACCTGCAACTGGAAAATGGGCGCAACATGAGATAGGAGTGGGACATGGTTTCTTTATGTGTCCTTCCTTTCAACCTATTTGATTCTGGTTGACTGTGAAAAATAAAACAAAATCCTTCCATTTTTCCGACTGTATTTTGTTCTGAAATGCACTCAAGAGATAGGACTGCGTTCTGAAACATCAGCGAAGAAGGCCTGACTCGCTCGGGCAGATCAGAGGCAGTGATGGCATCTGGAGGGACACCTAACTTTCGAAGCATTCCACTTTCATCTAAGGTAGCTATGGCAGCCTCACGGTCCATACCACGGCCTTGAGGAAAATGCTCGGGTTCGAAGAACCCTGTAGCGACCCATGCCGCTACCAGGGCCTTCTCAGGCCTTGCTTCAAAAGCCATCACACTAATCCCGAGTACCTATTTAAAAAAAACAACGTCTAGGTCCCAACTCATGAGCTGCCGGCAAACAGGCTTGTCAAAATCGAGCGTTGCACTTGATTCGGAAAAAAACATAACATCCGCTTGGGAAGCACTAAGCACCAGGCACAGAGAGCCATGCGCGATACGTTCTCTCTGGCAGCTCTGCTCCGTCTGCTTTTGGCCTCTTGAGCTGGCCGCTCGCAAGGACTGGGTGCTCATCGTACCGCTTCCTCTTTCTCAAGTTCATGGAGCAATCGATGTCTTCACAGTCTACAAGCTCAAACCGTGCACGGAGCAGATGATGGATTTGGTCGCACGGTTGGGCGTTAGCAGACCAACCGCCGACTTGAAGGTCACCAAGGACTACGTTAACACTCTTGCTCCAGTTTAGGCGCGCAAGATCCAATCCATCTCGAAATGTATGGTACCCCGTCCATGCGTCGTATAGGAGGAGTCCTCTGCAACTATCCGAAAGAGAGTGTTTTGCACGCTGCAGCGCAAAAGCGTCCGTCAACACTCCTTTCATATACCTTATGAGGCTCTCGCCGGACATGAAGTGCGTCTTGCCATAGGAGGTGAAGATGTAGCAAGTTCCCCTGTGGCGGGAGTTGAACTCTTCGATGACTTGTGGCTTCAAAAAGCCTTCTGCGATGCATATGGCCAATGGGCCCCTAGAGCCGTCGCTCCAAAGACTTGTCATCACAGTGACGCTCTTGCGCCATCCGCTGAAATTGTCCGTTCGCGCGATGATTCCTTTGTGCTGCACTTTGCCTTGCATGCGCAGGTACCGAACCTATTCTCAGCAGCCCTACACCATACCGAGACCCAAAACAAACCAGAGGAAGGTGTGTATATGTGATCCTGTGTACCAAGTAAAAAACACTCCCCTGGCCCCAATTAAGAACATCAACTCGGAAAGTTCAGAAAAAATGTTCTATATCTGCCCTGATTTCGGGGACACCCGATTAAAAAAAAAGTATTGTCAATATTACAAACCAATCCACGGCTCCGCTCTCTCATGTACACGTGCTTAGAACTTCTCAAGGCCTGCCTCCACACCTGATCACAATTTAGCACAAGCCACTTGTGCACTCCCCCGTGGGATATGTGATCCCGCACCTGCACACGCGATGCGCACAAACGGGGGTCGTCAAACTCTAGGTAGCTCCCAGCGGTGTTGACCGCCATCTTCTTCCATCTGAAGAGTTTCATCCATTTGCGACACCACCGGCCGTCCTTGGAAGGATGGTTTCAAGATTGAAAGTACAGTCCTTGAAAAGGATTAATGTATAAAATGTTACAAGCTACATCAAGTTACTGTCTAGTATTTGTTCCTCGATCTTTTCACTAAAAAGCTAAACTGAAAAGTTGCGCAACGTCCTATCTCATGTTAAATGTCCTTTTAAATGCCTGCAAGATATCGTGGGAGCTACTTTGGCTTTATAATGCTTTTAGTGGACGCATCGAGGGAACGGATAGAATCGGGAACCTTTGAAGGACATGTAACAT